CTTATTTTCCCCTATAATTTTTACACTCTCGTTTATACTCTTTTCCTTTATACAAAAGAACTATGAATACTCTCTGCCAGTCTCTAGGTACCTTTCCCTTTCCATACATTTATTTAACAGATGTACCAATAACTCCAGAACTATATCCCCACCTGCTTTTAATATTTCTGACTTCATCCCATCAATACCAGGCACTTTACCCCATTCATTTTACCCACTGACTCAATTACTTACCCTGCTCTCACTGCTGGTTCTTCCTCACTCCTAAAAGATGTTATACCTCCCTGGTCAATGCATGAATTTACTGCCTCCCTTTCTAAATGAAAATTAAGTCTCTGCATGATCTGAGAAAGTTATTGCTGAATACCATAACCCAAGTCTTCAGTTCCTTAGCGCACGTAATCGGAATCTGACAGAGTTCGGCATAAGTTGATAATGCAATTAAATATTAGAGTTGATGATATGATTGGTATTACGACCACAAGTGTAGTCTTGCAGCCTATACACTTGCTCATAGCACGATTGACTAAGGTAGGAATGAGGAACGAACAAACGTCAACAGTAAATGATTATGATTCCTTCACTAATAAGTATGCAAATATATGTACAATGTATAAACACTATGTACAAAGTAAGTTTGCAAGTAAGATTATTATTATTATAATAATAATAAAAAAGAATCGCTAAACCACAAGGGCTATACAGCGCTTTTGAAAGTAAGAGACACAGTGAAAATTGTAGGCGACTAGACTTGAGGTAAGTCTGCCAATGTTGATTCACGAGTCCCAGACATCACTTGACAACTTTGGTAGGCTTCTTTATAGTTGCCTGAGTTGAACCAGTCGGTTTTGTATAACATTTGAGCCCCTCCTGGAATACTCTTAAACTGTTGGTTTACTGGTCAGGAGGACATGTCTATATGACGTGTGACATACCTCGAATAAGCTTAAAGTACTTCTAGCATGCCACATAGCGAACTGGAAGAGGCATTCGCAATTTATCAGAGGAAACTAATAATCAAATTTCTTTAATAAAAATGGTAAATTAGGATATTACAGAGCCCGAATCTATTGCAAACCATTTAGAAAGATCAAAGAAAATAATATCCTAAGATAAACAAGAACATCAAACTTGACACTGCTCAAAATTTGCGTTATCACGCCATCAACATGAATGGGTTGAAGGTAATCAGAACCAACGTAATCAGAACCAATGTAATCAGAACCAATGTAATCAGAACCAATTTAATCAGAACCAATGTAATCAGAACCAATGTAATCAGAACCAACATTCAGAAATTAACGCATGGAAAGTAGTATTTTAATTCTTCCAGTTTCTAGGGGAGCAAAATGGGACCTACACAGACCAGCATCAGCCCAAATTTTCCTCCAAGACTGACTACCTTTTTAAGAGAGTTTACTAAGTAAATAAGCTAGTTTGGTTAGTGGAGATAATTTATTTTAAGGACGGTCTTGAGGGCCCATCAATATTACTGGCACATAAAACAATAAGTTGATTTATCGTAGATTTATTTAAATAAAGTCAAACACTGTGACTTAATCCTGATCAGAAGCGACATTTTCCAATTACTCAAAGAAACCAGACTAATAAAATTGGCTTATGGTACCTTACGTAACCTAACATCAACACTCAACTTCATCAACACTAAAAGTTTCAAGCCGACTGGATGAATCATGTCCGGTTATTTCACCCATGAAAAGATCCACCTATTTCACATGATACATCAGCCACTGAAAGTGACGTCGTTCAGAATTGCTGTTTTAATCAGAAGAAAGAGCCAAACTCATAAGGGTCATATAGCACCTGTGGAACTGGAGACACTTAAACTCGATTTTATATCAACCAACTCTCTGAAATATGAAAAAAACTCTACTGCCAGAGCAGCAGAATATCTTGTACCATAAACCTTGAATACAATTGTGCCAACAGCTGGGATGGGACGACCACAACAGCACTTGCGTGCTACACAGGAACGATTACGGACACCTGATGAAATGCAATTGGGTCTGGTAGTCATCCATGACTAAGCAGACCTAACTGAAAATGACTAATGAAGGCGGAGGTGCATGGAAGCTGCCTTAATTACCAACACTCAGACAATACAATAAAAATCTGCAAGTTTCAGTGTTTTCAGACCTATATTATTATCATATTAGGATAGTCCGTCAGGTGAGTCTCACCTGCTGTAACCTACAGTCAGGTGAGTCTCACCTGCTGTAACCTACAGTCAAGTGAATCTCACCTGCTGTAACCTACAGTCAGGTGAGTCTCACTTGCTGTAACCTACAGTCAGGTGAGTCTCACTTGCTGTAACCTACAGTCAGGTGAGTCTCACTTGCTGTAACCTACAGTCAGGTGAGTCTCACTTTGCTGTAACCTACAGTCAGGTGAGTCTCACTGCTGTAACCTACAGTCAGGTGAGTCTCACCTGCTGTAACCTACAGTCAGGTGAGTCTCACTTGCTGTAACCTACAGTCAG